ATCTTTCGATGAGTACGAATGAATCTAGTCTTGTTGGGCATTGTGAGAATATGAGTATGTTCTTTTTCAAACTTCGCAATAACACATCTCTGCTTCTCATTCTTTTTAATGTGGATCTTTGATTGACATCCATATTTTGTGTGGGGCCGAGCATTTTCACTCCCACCATACATCTGACTACGAAAACCTTGCTTATACGAAAACCTTGCTTACAACATTTCATAATATGACCAATTTTCCACCATGTTTCCAAATGGTTCTTCCCTTTCTTATACCAAACCCTATCAAATTTGTGTACTTATTATAATAATTATAAGCTTCATCTTCGTCGATAAATGCCATTCCTACTGTGGGTTCGATACCTACACCTCTTGCTAGGGCTTCTTATGCATCTATAAGTATAGGATCTCCTTCTCCATCTATTGCAACTATATCTTCATCAAACGGAGAATAATGACAAGCTTTATCTATCATAGTCTGAGCACCGACTCATGCCCATTGTTTGAACTAGTAATGTCGACAGGAGAGGAAGGACATACTAATGTTGAGGCGTCCATGATACACGCATAGTATACCTGTTCGGTTTATATGGTCAACAATGAGAAGTAAGTAGGAGAACATATCAGTATGACAAAAGAATCTTACTTAAAAAAAAAAAAAAACGATATCAGGAATACCCACAAAAAATTGCCTTCTAATGTACATTGAAATCATAATTACAAGTTCAAAGACAAAAAGGACAACATTGCGAAGATTTTCAACAAAAAGTTTGAAACTGAATAATTTCATACCCCTAAAATAAAACAAGGTAAAAATAAAAAAAAAATAAAAAAACCGAATTCCATTGGAAGATGAACATAATAGTACTAATGATAGTAATAATAACATCAACCTATAAAATTTAGCTTAACTAACAACAACTTCATGATGGATGGATGATTTACCAAAAAAAAAACAATTCGTTACTCTCTTGTAATTCAACGTCGCGAACAAGCTCTCCTGCTCAACAGTAGTATGTTGGAATATCATCAAACAACATATGGATCATGTCCAATAAACCTAATGTCCTAGTAGGATTGTCTAAGATTCAAGTGACCTTTTAATCTCAATTAACCATGTGATAGTCTAGAAGCAAAACTGTGTCATAAAATATCATAATTAGGAGGTAATTTAAAAGCACAGGTGAATGACACAATCAATTGGGCAATGGGAGCAGTTATTTAGTTTTGTATCATGGGTATGCTACTAATTTCACATCAAAAACACCAAATAACATGGTGTGATTAGTATCAGATCCTATACCTTTCAAAACACGATATCAAGAATACCCACAAAAAGTACCTTCTAAAGTAAATTCAAATCATAATTACAAGTTTATATGCAAAAGTGCAAAATTGTGATGACTCTCAACAAAGAGTTTAAAAATGAACATTTCCATGCCCCCTAAAATAAGAAAGGTAATAATCTAAAAGAAAGAACATTGAATTCCATTGAAAAAGGAATAGAATAGTACTAATGATAGTAATAACAACTTCAACTCATAAAGTTTAGCTAATTAACAACTCATTTATAGATTTCATATATAAAAAATATAAATAAAATCAAACACGAATACTCAAAAAATAAAATAAAATGAGAACTATTGTTTGTATTCTAAAAATGAGAAAAAAGATGCATTAAGGTATAAAACTAAAAGACTCACCAAATTACTGTTCATATTCTGAAAATCCAAAACCTTGAATACAATGATCTCATTCAAACGAACACACAATGCTCTAAAAAATTCTCTCTCATAAGTACCTTTTAAGCATTTCCTATGGTGATTTATTCAGTAAAATTTTTTTTCTACTCACTGATTTTGCATCTAGCACTGTAAAACAGAGGGGTTCATTCACAAATTCCATTTTGAGATCTAATAACAAACTTTGGCATTATTTTAGCCATCAAAGTAAAATATTGGGGTTTATTCATGGTAAGGGTTTGATTCAAATTGTGATAATCTGAAATCACGTAATTTATTTTTAACCAAACTGAAAATTTTCTCTCCCATATGTAGTTTTCTCTTCCAATTTATGTGATTATGATTTCCTCTCCCGTTTTTGGTGATTATTAGGAAAAACATGTAGGGTTTCATTGAAACTCTTAAATTTGGGATCTACTAAAAAATTGAGTTGGTTTTTTTTAAAAAATGGATTTTAATCTTGATTTGGGGTTGGAGTTTATTTAGAAATTGTGACTTCGTTTCTAGCAAAGAGAATTATACAAATGAGGATACAATCTAGAGGTCACTCACCCGATTGATGTTGAAGAACTTTGCCTGGTGTGGGTGGCGTATGTTGCTGCCAGAAGCTTCGTTGAGATAGGAGAGGGCGACCGAGAGGAGAGTCATAGAGGAGAGAGCGAGCGAGAGAGATGCAAGTTTTGCAGAGCAGAAGAGAGGGTGAGCCAGAGAGAATCGACCTTTAGCAGAGGAGAGGAGAGGGCGAGCAAAAGAAAGAGATGTTCGCTGAGCTTCACGTGGGAGGGAGGGCAGTGATTGAAAATATGTTAGGTTTGATGCTTTTTGAGGCTATCACGACCTTTCATTTCTTTCAAATTAAGTGGATGGTGGACAGGGGGTAGGTGAAATCACTGTTCATATTCGCCTATAGGCGTTTGGAAACCTTTTCCATTATATAATATGTAATATATAAGAGTATACTATATACTATATACTATATAATATATCATACATGATATATAATACATAATACATAATATGTAATATATAATATATGTAACTGTCATTCGGATTAGATTTTGCCTAATTTATCTACATACACGTTAGGGATGGATTATGAAGTTTTGAGACGCATAATATTGAAAGGTTATTGAAATTTTAAGTTTAGTAGATATGATTGAAATTTCGGTGTTTTGTGCATGAGGTGGTGTACTTGCAAAAGACGATGTAATGATAAATCATGTAATCCCTATTATTTTTTAAGGCTGTCAAGGGCAACGGTCATAAGGGAACTTTCAAAAAAAAAAAATATCAATTTTAAGAATTATACATCAAATTTGTTAGGTAAGTATAATACTATATTAATTGAAAATTTGAAATATATATTTATTTTTAAAGAAGCTCCTTCTTAATGTAGCAAGCACTTTTCATAGTAATTTTTAAATAAAATTTACAATGTATTTCTAAATTACGAAAGAACTTATTTTTAAGAGAAAAACTAAAATTTTATTGTTTATAAGAAGTTTTAATTGAATAATATGAAAAATGATTATATTAATAGAACACCAAAGTTATAGATAACATCATATAATATAATATAATATAATATAATATAATATAATATTAGCTTATGAATTTAAGATTTTATTTCAATATGTTATAATTTTTATTTATTCCTTTTTATTTTTTCATTATTTTAAGAATTTTTTAATTTCATTACATTATATGATATAATATTATATTATATTATATTATGATTTTAATCTTATTTTTTAGTAATATAAGATAATATATATTACGTAATAGGTAATATATAGTACATACTCTGTAATATAATGCATTAAATTATTGTATAAATAAAATTTTTACTGCATGGATAGGTTTTGTCTTCTTTCCTATCAAGATATTGAATATTTTATATTATTTTTTTTTAGGAGTTTGAAAGTCTGTTTTTATTTTTTTCACAACCATAATATGATATAATCGATGTGATGGTTTTTCAATACTTGAACTACAATTTTCAATGAATTCTTTGGTGAGGATTAGGCTGCACCTTATCAAACTATTTTTCTTATGATTTAGCCAAAGTTTAAATCTTTTATAACATTTTTACAACAAATTTACAAATAATCTTTACAATGCCGCTACAAGTTACAATGCCGCTACAAGAGGTATTCCAAGAAGGGAAAAGTTTATATATAGAGCTGAGGCTCTAAACAATCAAATTTAAACCTATCTCAAAAATTTCATTAGAAGAGGTTGTTTTGATACCCAAATATCTTCAAATTGATCATCTCAACATCAAGGTGCATGGACATAAGAAGAAAATGGATTGCAAGTTTTGAAAATAGCATGTTTTGTAACGTAGTTTTGGACTGTCAATTTTCAAGATATCATAAATATGTCGATCTACACTATTTTTGAAGCTTTGAGCTTCATAAATAGATACGTGAATATATTTTTAACTTATCACAAAGATTTTCAATATTGAAACCACATTTCTTGATACTATTTGATACTATTTGGAGGTAGGTTCTAATTTGATTGTTTAGAGTCTAGGCTCTATACAAACCGCACCCTTCCAAGAATATATAGGCCGTAAGTGGCGTAAATAAGGGGTCTACATTATAGCCATCTCCTCCATTCACACACGTAAACACGTGGGAGATAAAAAGGACCGCTAACTTCTTTCTGCCGATGCCTTGGAACCCTGAAATAGTGCACCCGAGGGACCTTGAAAATATAAGGGAGGATGGAGAATTATTTTAAGGCCGAGGGACCATATTAAAAAAAGTTAAATTGAAATATTACGCTGGACGGCAATTGGGAGGTTTTAGTACACCCGACAGACCTTAAAAATATAAGGTAGAAAAGAATGGAGATTTATTTAAAGGCCGATGGACCATATTAAGAAAAGTTCAATTAAAATATTATGTGGGACGGAATTGCGAGGTTTTATACGGGGCAAATTGTTTCATGCGGGTTGGACTGCATTTTTACATATGCGGTCCAAAAAAAAAGTGTGAAGCGTCCATCTTTATGCAAATTAGATGGAAGCTAACCAGTCCAAATATTTTATTATTATTTTGGGTTTTAAAATTTATTTATTTGGAGATGCGGGATTGTTTAAAGTTGCTGGACCTTTATTTATATTCATTACCTCTATGTTAATACGTGGCCATGGATTTATTGAGAGGCCCGTATTTCTACATATGCGGGCTTGGCGTCCATGTATACGGAAACCCCGGAAAGATATGAAGCATTGAAGAAGAGGAGGGGGAAAGAAAGAAAAAGAAAACCGATTTGGGGGTGGGTGGCTCATTTTTGCCCCATCTTTCCAATCCAGAAAGTTGGGAAAAAAAAGGAGTGACGACCAAGTCGGCGCGCCTTCACCAACACAACACACGCTTCTGTCGCTCCATAAATCCCCAAGTACCAAAATGGCCTTCTCTCTCTCTTCTGCCCCAGCTCTCTCTTCCTCCTCCCATGCCGCCTTCCTCATGCCTCGCCTCTCTCTCCTCCGCCGCCTGTCGGTACCCCGCCATGGTCGACGCCTCTTCGCTGTCGCCCAACAACAGCAGGAGCAAGAACAATGGTCTGTAGCGAAGCTCGCCCGCATATGCCCAGCGGCAGAGTCTATCTTCCATTTGACGATGGACATCAGTGATGCCCCTTCGCTGGGCACATCGTATACGATGCCTGGGCAGTACTTGCAGGCACGGGCTGCGAGCGAGCCGTCGCCTTCGGTGTTTTTGTCTATCGCTTCACCGCCTGCACTTGCTGCGAAGGAAGGGGTGCTGGAGTTTTTGGTGAAGAGTGTGGAGGGGTCTGCGGCGGGGGTGCTATGTGCGATGAGGGAGGGGGAGGAGGTGGAATTGAGTCCTGTGATGGGAAGGGGGTTTAACATACCTGAGATTGAGCCCACACCAGAGTTTCCATCGGTGTTCATATTTGCGACTGGGACAGGTATCAGGTGATCTGCCTATGTCTTCCTCTCACTTCTAAAATTGTGAGTTATAATTGTAGCAAGGATCTGTCTTTCCTCCATTTCCTCCCAATTGAGATTCCAATTGTACAAATTGATAGCTGCCCTCCTTCCTCTCTCACCCCCAAAATGTCGAGGTCTTGGCCCCCCTATATCTCTCTCTCAAATACACAGACACGCACACACGCATTTCCAGTTTCCACATCCAAAATCTGGAGTCTCTATCTCCCTCACTCTCTCTCTCTCTCTCTCTCTCTCTCTCTCTCTCTCTCTCTAAACTGAAAAAAATATGATATTTTATGGGATCCCTGTCTCTATGCAACCTACTAGGTGTTTGTAATCTGCATCTGCAGATAGTTGAATCCATCGAGTTTTAATTATTTAAGAGATAGGTCAGTAATGTTTTTAGTGGCAGCAAGTTTTGAAATATGTGTCTTTTTGTCTCCTTTTTTTTTTCTTTTTTCTTTTCCTCAAAACACACTTTGAATCTTATTGTTGTTTATTGAAGTTGGGTAGGCTCTCAATTGAGTTTGTCTATGTGGGTTTGTGATAATTAATCTCCCTTTCGTAATTTATGATTTGGTTGCAGTAGATTCATAGTTTGTCTAAAGTTTGGGGAAATGATGGCAATTCCATAGAGAGAACTTGAATTCCATCGTATGAAATATGGAAACGGATACTTCTATTACCAAGAACATGACAATTAGTATGAGAAAACTCATTGGAGTTTCTAGAATTATACTGTTGGATCTGCCACTTTTTTGGGTGACTGTTGGATCTGTTACTTACGAATAACTTCGTTCACCTTGACATATAGCTTATATATGGGTTTTCCTTTCATGGGAGTTGGGGATTAATTTTCTTAAAGTGTTACGGAAATTTTGCTAAGTTCATGTAACGTCATGAGTGTCATTTTTTGACTTTGATGTATGTGCTAGAGTTTTGAACACCTTTAGTTTTGTTTGATGTGGAATCCCATGATAGAAGGAGCATTTAGAGAGGCTAATCAAGGAAAAACTGACGTGTGTGAGGGGAAGGAGTGCAATTGAGAAGTTAGTAAGAAGCCTCAGGGTAACTTATCCTTGTAAGGGATTAACTAGAAGCATGTGTTCGGCTGGTACATTGGGGTTGCAGGGTGCTGATGGTGCTCATGATGGGTTTGATAAGTTATATAGATTTCAGAGCATCTAGGATATTTTTAGGCTATTGAAGTTTTTTTTTGAGAAAAAGTTAACATTGTATTAATATAAGGAGAGAGAGTACAAAGAGGTGGGGGAGTTTAGAGGCTATTGAAGTTAGCCATCTTGGTCGAATAACTTGCTAGAGCAATCTCCTCCTTTGGGAGGGTGAGATTAGTTGGACTTATGCCTTCCCATTAGCCTTTTTTGGTAATCAAGGACACAAATTGGGAGGCTGTATGGTAATTTCTCAGATTTTCTTTGATTGACCTAGACACTTTGCAAGGATGGTGACACCTCTTTCTTCTTCGCTTATTCCTTATGTGTCGATCTTGATGGCCTTAAGAGATTCTAATCTGATGCTTACGCTGGTTGGTTTTCTACATGATTATGGCTGGGGTGTTAGCAACAAGGGGTACATTTGAGTTTTATATCCAGACAAGAGGGCTTTATGACTGCTCGGTAGAATTTGGATGAACTCTAGCTAGTTTTATACAAAGTTGGTATGGCTTGTATCATTCATCTAGAGGAAGCTTATGGATGTTGATATTTACCAAGGAGCATGCTTGGGTTCATCTGGATTGAATGGATTTGGAATTTGTATGTCAATAGTACCTCCCTGACTCATGGAGGTTGCTATAAATTCTAGGGATGTTTTTGTCTCAATTAGGTTTCCTTTAATTTATGTTCAATGCTGTAGGTTTGCTTCATGATACAAGAATTGCTTGAGTACTTCAACAGGTTGGGAGTTGTTGTTGTACTATGTGCAAGAATTCTGATTGTTGGCTATGGGTCCCCTTGTCTACTGTCCTTGTGCTCCCTTGGATCTAGTAGCGTTAGGAATGAAAGGCTTAAGGAGAAGATTTTTTTGTGGCTTGCCCACAAACAGATGATAATGTTGATATGAAGTACTTATGCTTTTTCCCAATTATTTCTGAGTATTTGGTTATATGTTTTTAATGCCAAGAACTGATTTAAACAGCACGCCATGGGTGTAGGCTTTGTCATTTACCCAAGGAAAAGTTCTGAACCAGCACATGAAGCAAGGGTGTTTTTTGACTTATATTTTTAATTTTATTCGAATATATAGTTCATTTAGTAACTGTTTAGTGCTGATGTTTGCATTTTAAGTCATACATGGGAAGCATTTTAGCTAATTCTGAGGTGTAAGAGACTTCATAAATTCTAAACTTTTACAGATTTTCCTTTTAATATATCTTTTACGTTATTGTTGTATGTCATCTAATTTTCTCCAATATTTTAGCTAAGAGTACATGAACCTGATTTACACATTCATTTTGATCTGCACTCAGATTACATTTAGCCTCTACCTTGTTTATTTGGACAAGTCTTGCTGTCATAGATGAAATCTTCCCACTTTTGGCTTGATGCTTTTTCTAATCATACCTCAGGCTAGTGGTGCTCACATCTGTGTAGCTTTCAGGAGCATGTGTTGGGACACTATCAATGACCTGTATACTTAGCAGATTCTTGGGTCTTGCTTTTCTCTTTTGCTGTTATTTTCATTTTCTTCGTGCGCTGGAATTTAGTAAATGGAAGATATTATTACAGTTAAAAGGAGACTTTACAGCCTGATCTGAAGGACCCTAGACCTCTAGGATACTTCTAGCTGGCTGAGTTGATGATACTCCACCCCATTCGTCTTCCATAGCACACAATGTTTTATAATGCCAGCCTCACAATTGAGGCACCTTATTTTTATTTTTAATTTTTTGTGTCTATTGTCGCGCCATACTATTTTGAACACATACATTAGTTTGAAACTTTAATTATTAAAACTTTACAATGACAATCACTTTAGACTCAATCATACGACATTTTATGAATTAAAGAGTTACAATTTTGTTAACTTGTCGTGACATGCCATACATAACATCCCTTGACCATAATATAACAGAAAGTCATATAAGTCAAAAGACTTAAAAACCACATAATAATACAACAAATCTCAGTATCTCAAATTGTAAAATGAGTTCTGTCATCAGCACCACCACTAGGTGCTTCACCATCTTCATCATCGTCACCAGCTGCACATGTGATCTGAATCTAATAATGCAAGCCATTATCATTAGAGTCATTCCCCCTCCTCGACGTATCATAGTTCATCTGTTGTCTCCATTAAGTTAGCGTCCTCTATCATCCTTCTTCTGTAATGTCCTCATGCTTTAGTTTGAAGCTTTAGATAATGTAATGGGCCAAATGAGCTTCATGTAGCCTCACAAACTTGGCCTCAACTATAACGTTCTAGGGAATACTACATCATCTCCAACATTGACCAACCCATCAGCAGAATTATTCATATCTCTGACAATAATAAGGTCTATTTAAATATATTATAGCCCTCTATTTAAATATATTAAGCTATCTTTGTCGTAGTTATTGACGGCTTAATTAAGCTCCTATAAGCTGTGGTGTATGTTGTTCGCAGATGACATAGTTTTGATCAATGAGACCTGAAGCGGTGTCAACACAAAGTGAGAACTTTGGATGGATGCTCTAGAATCTAAAGGTTTTAAAATTAGCCGGACCAAGATAGAGTATATGGAATGAAAGTTTAGTAATAATCGAAGTAGAGACGATGAAGTAGGTAAAATTGACGGCCAAGATATACCAAAAAGAGCACACTTTCGATATCTTGGGTCGATAATCCAGGAAAATGGAGAGATCAAGGAAGATGTCTCATGTAAAATTAGAGCTGAGTGGGCGAGGTGATGTACAACCGGGGTTTTATGTGATTGACGAATACCAATGAGCCGAAGGGGAAGTTCTATAGGATAGATGTGAGACTAGTTTTGCTTTATGGCGTGGCATGGTTGGCGGTTAAGAAACACCATGCCCATAGGATAAGTGTAGCTGAGATGAGGATGTTGAGATGGATGAGTGGCAAGACAAGAAGAGGATAGAATTTGAAATGAATACATTCAGGATAACTTAAATGTAGCTCCAATAGGTGATAAGATGAGAGAAAGTAGACTTAGGTGAGGCTGCCATGTGCAGCATAGACCTAGTACAACACCTATTAAGGGATGCGAGTTGGTTCAAGTAGAAGGCTAAAAAAGAGCAAGGGGTAGGCCCAAAAGGACATGGTTGGAAGTAGTAAGAAAATATATGGCGATTTATGGCCTCACTGAGGGTATGACCCTTGATAAAGTAGAATAACGGACCAGGATTCGTGTAGCCGACTGCAAATAGTTAGGAAACGGATTTGAGGATGATGCTAACGATACCCCTCTTTCAACTGCTGATTGTACTGGACGTTAACAAGATTGTTTAGTTTCTTCTGCTTAAAGTTTGTTTCTTTTCTTTGTATGGATATGTTGGATAGTGCTTGAATGCATGATTTAGAAAAATATAAAGCAATTCTCTCAGTAATACAAAGTTAATGTTATCAAAAAAAGAAAAGAAAAATATAAAACAATATAATACAAGTAAGGGATGCCCTAATAGGGAGTATTTGGACTTATAAGACTTAGGACTAGTAGGGAAATGAGTTAAAAAATTATCATTATCGAATAACTAATGTTGCTCTAGCAACTAGATGAGCTACAAGTTAGATTCAAAACGTGCAGTGCCATCTTTAAAATTGCTTGGCGCTTCCCCCCTGTGTGACCAATCATAGAGGTACATTACTTATAGAGTGATGGTAATGTATATGTAGTACTAGTTCTACTAATACTATTATATATATCAAGAAAGTACTCAAATCACAAATTCACAATGGGTATGTATAAATATTACTTGGATAATTTTATTCCTTTGCCTTTTGACTATATCTATCCCAAATGACTC